TAATTTGGTTTTTTTGGGCTGGGTTTCAGTGGGGGGATCTAGGGGGGGGGGGGGGGGGTCCTGACCCCCCCCCCCCCCCCCCCCTCCTTCGATTTCTGGTCCCCTCTTGAAATTAGCATTTTGACTAGCTGAATCATAGTCCTACACCGTACCAAATGGCACCGTTCGCCCTTTAAAATGCCTTAAATTTCCGAGCCCTTCGCATCCGCGGACCCCCTTCAAATATTCCTGGAACCGCCCCTGGATTTTACCTTGAAGTATTCGTATAGTGGCACACAGCTTAGGGAACACTTACAAATGCAGATATTAAAAAGAACGTTTCCTGTCCAATACCTTAAAACTCAAAAATAATTATTGTCAACCATCGCTTTATAGTATTGCAATTAATCATAATTATTACTTTTAATGAGTGCAAAATTCATTTTTATTGCAAAACAGTTAAAGTGGAAATGCTATCCAATACAGAATGATGATTTTGTCTTTGCATTATTAAATTTTAATTACAGAAGGCATGGTTCAAACTTTTGCATCTTAAATGGCGGGTGTTTCCGTATCTTCTTTACAGCAGTATAATAATGGAAAAAATATTACCTCCATTATTTATTGGATTTTTCCTTTTTCGATAACCCTGGGCTGTGTTTACAGATACAATTGAGCGATACGTTTTTCGTTGGTTTAAGTACTGTCACAATGTCTGGCTTAACGTATACATTGTTTACCTACCCATTGAATGTGGGTTTTCTTTGCGAGTTGTTTAACAAAACCTTTTTGTCGTACTATGGCAGGATACTCTTACATAAAGATATCAAGGTAAATAAAATGACCCCTGGGATTTTTTTTCACATTTTGTTCTCGGTTTACGTGGTTTTCATTTTCAAGTCGCAAGCGGTGTGCAATAATTTTATTATTTCACTATTCAATCATATCTTACAAGGTCAATGCCAGGTTAGTGTTAAAGAAGCATTTGTAAAATAACGCTCCCATCACAAAGACTCGCAATAGAAACCGGCAGATACAGAAAAATACCTATTGCACAAAGAAAACATTTGGATTTCAACGATGCGGATGATGGGTTCCATTTTACACATAGTTGCGGTAGATATGTCGTTCTCGAAGAAGAAGTCCATCTGATGAATTCTTCCAATAAGAAAACACAATGTAACCGTGCATTGACCTAGCTGGAATGCTTCAGCAGGGGGGCCTGTATCTGATTTCCATGTGACTAATCGGTTAAATAAAATGACCCCTGGATTTTTTTTTAATTTTGTTTCCGGTTTGCTAGGTTGTCATTTTCCACTTGCAAGCGGTGTCAAATAATTTTAACAATTTGCAAAAGATACATGTATATAAACTTACGTACAACAAAACAACTTATCCTAAAACAAACACGTACATTTAGTAGAACTTTAAATCAAGTATATATGCAGGGCGCATGAGACTTATTCCGCAAATCTTGTGAGACAACTTGTACATGTGGAACCTGCGATGTTCTGCTTGGGGTGGGGTTAACTCTTCTGCTAGAAGGGTTAACCATTAAGGACCTGAAATATAGTCCAGTAAACGAACGAAGGTTAGAAAAAATTTAACGAATGTTTCTCTACTGAATCCAGTCCAGTTATAGGTCAATATAATCCAGATAATTTCACGCCGGAATCCACCCATGGTGCCAAAATCCAAATGACCGCCAATGCATAGGAGAGGGTATTTAAGTGGGCATATAATGGAAACTGGGAAACTTAGAAACTTATGAGAGGTATCATCTGTTATGTTCAAAGGCATGGACATTCATTTGAAAATAGTGTAGAAGTCATTAGAGGTCAGGGTCATGCCTAAATATCAAGGTGAATCTCGAAAAAGGTCCAAAATAGCTAAGAATACAACATTAACTTCCTTTATTCTTTCAAAAATGAATTTTTAATGCTTTTTAGCTCCTATTGAGAACTGCATTTAAGGTACCACCTTTGTGAATGTTGTATTTAACTGACAGAGAGTAAAATAATGTATGTCTGTTACCGGGAATGATTAACTAAACCCAGGTGGCTGGTTCAACGTTTATTCTGACTTCCAAACCAAAATAGTATAAAATAAAAACCCTAAAAGAGATTTACAGCTATATTTACAATACAGTCTAAATAAGTAAATTATACGGACAATCATACTGACAATTTAACATGTTTTTGTTAAATTAAGAAACACTAGTCTTACTACAGATAAATGGAAAATTACATGTATATAGATTTACACAGCGCTTACTCGTACATACCCCAATGTCCTAGAGGGGGTTATCATTTACTAAGACGGAGGATAAACTAGATGACTCTGTAATCTGAGGCTGAAAGAAAAATGAATAAGAGTAGTGGAAAATTTATCTATAGTAAAGATGATAGAAAATACGAACAGAAAGAAAGGAAATACCAGAGCAACTAACTTACCAACACAAGCCACTTGTCTCAGTTGTTCCACCGTCTAGTGCTCGAAATTGGCGCGCACAGATTTTATATAGTAAAAGGTCACGTGATAGAATATAAGTTGTCAAAGGATGTGAAGGTACCTAGTAGTCACAAGAGTCAACGTAGAAGTATTTAGAGAAAACCAATTATATCACATGGTCACATGTCAAGGCCAAATTTGCATCTTAAAAGTCACAAAAGTAAGCTTTGCGACCTCCAAAACACATGCCGAGCTAATTAAATGTATTCTTTGATGGCCAAATCTATGGATGAAGTTTAAGTTGTTAATTATGAAATAAAGGGCAATGCTTTGTTATCGGAGGTCACGGTCATGTATGTCAAGGTCAATCTCAACAATGGCTTGAAATGTAACTACATTTTTGTGAAACTTTTCTAGAAATGTATATCGATAAACATTTTTAATGTCATTTTAGCGCTTACAATGTTCCATCAACTTAATTTCAATCAATTGCTTCATTGGTGGCATGTCAGATTTTCTGATAAATTGAGAATCCTTTTTGAAGTTAGTTGTTTTGATGGCTAACTACGTGTTCAATGGAATGTTTGTGTGGCGTTTTCTGGAGACTGTGTGGTGAGAACAATTGCTCATGGCGGCGGTTCAACCCCTTTGTGAATTGCCATTCACTGTGGTGTTCAACCAACCCAGTGGTTCTGAACAAAATTATGAGGACTCAGATGGTCCCCTGTGCTACAGCCAATAATGACCCTTACATTTCAACATGGCAATGCCAAACCTTATCGTGGTAGGCTAACACAACCACTTTTTTATTGAGAAGAATCTGAGCAAATGGACTACCTGTCTTGTTTAATCTCTTGATTTGTATCCCATATGGCAATGTTCGGATGCTCTCTACCGGACTGGATGAAAAAGAGAGGTCCAGGGAACTTCTTGACAAACTAAGGTTTTTTGTTTAGGAGCGGGTCGGTCGTAACCAGAGATATATCTACAAAAAGTTTTAATTATGAATACTTCAAAAACACGAGTAGGGCTTTTACGACATCCTAACTCAGCATTGGAGAATAACAGGGTGACATTGGCATTCTGCACAACTATTCTTTTTAGAAATTGGTGATTTATAAATAATTGATCGCCCATAGGAACTCGAAGGGAAAAGGTTCAATAAAATATTGTTACTTGAAGTTAGAACATGAAATAGTAATAATCATAATAAATACACTAATGTCCTGGTTGAATGTTGCGTTGTCTTACCTATTGAAACAATATTGAAACTTAATTGAAATCACTGATGTAATGTCCTATTGGAATTTTCCATTATTTTATCAACAGTGTGTATTTTATGTTAAAACAGAGGGAATGAAAGGCTGTGTTAGTGCGGTAAGATACAAACGGAGAGTCAAGTGATCAGTAAGTGCGAACATACGCCAGAAATCCGTTTGGGCCACCCTGGAGTTATAAAGACAACATTAAGCCAAATATTTTCGGAAATTTCAGTAAACGCATCTGAATTTGTGTAAAATGTTATGAGGATAAGTGAAGGAATGTGACACGTCTGCGTTCAAGTTGTAATTATTTTACCTTTTTTATTTAAATTTGAAATTATATATTTCTGCATGTGTGTTCTGCTTGCACCATATGGTATACATGCAGTAATGATAAAATCCTACAACCTACTTGTACATGTACGCAAAGTGATTCCAATATTGTTCAATTTTTTATTTTCAGGGCCTTCTTCTGACAATTTTTCTTTAATGTCTTTTCTCATTCGGGCGCTAGTTTTATTAATATTTTTATAACCTTTACCACGTATAATTAACCTCATGCTTACATTACAGACCGCCACGAGTGTGCTCGAGTTTGTCAGCGAAATGTCCACAAGACCTGCGAGTACAATTTCACCGTCGAGTGGTATCTTACGCTATCCAAGGTAAAACAAAAAGAAACAAAATTTTATGATTTGGAAATTTAATGAAGGCTCAAAGTTAAGGTATTTTTAAACATAAAGGAAAATGTTATGTGATCCGTTGTCAACTTACATGTATATGATCAGTTGTCAACTTGAAGAGTAAATGCATTTTAAAAAAAGTTTTTTTTCAAAATTTTGTCAATTTCAATCAACCAGAACGTTGACACTGCTGCACATGGGAAGCCGTTAGGCACCCACTATATTCTTTATTTACGTTGGCGACAGTATGGCAATATGAAAACATGTGAAAAAGTTCTAGAAATTATTTTGCCAGCTCACCAGCTGAGCGACTTATTCGAGCATAATTCGAGAGAATTCCCTATGAAATAACTGTACCACTTAAATTATAAGAAATAGTTATTAAAAAGAAAAACAGGAAAGATAAAGACAATAGGTATGATCACCCCATCTAGATATATTGTTAAAGAAGCACTTACCGTTACTTACATAAAACCCTTCTAAAATGCAAAACCCGCACGGAACGATACATTCTAGGCTTGCTATGACTGTCCATTTAACCTGACGGACTGCCACCGCCCCCATTGTATCGCTGCTGATGGACATATGCGAGCTGTCGTTGCGGTCAATAGACAGATACCAGGGCCAATGATAGAGGTGAGCGTACGCACACACACACACACACACGCACACATGAGGCCTCTGTATCCCTGAAGATCTCTCGAAAGAAGTCATTCAATTTTGTGTGTTTAATTCAGCTCGATTTTGCGAGCCTGTCATGCGGTGAAAGTTGACATTAGTCTTGGAAGCTTTTGCGTGGTTTGTGACACATTGTCCACCCCTCATAAAGCTGGAAACCTAGCGTACATACACCCGAATTCCCACCGAAAATATTTTGGCCTTAGCCAATAATTTATTTGCTTATATGAATTACGAATTAATATTTATCAATACATTGGCTGAGGTGCCTTTATTGTAAATTAATCAAAAGATATGTGATTGTCATCCAGGTTTGTGAGGGTGATACCTTGGTGGTGAATGTAAAGAATGAACTTGAGGACGGTGAAAGTACAGTGATACATTGGCACGGTATCCACCAGATGGGGACACCGTACATGGACGGAGTCAGTATGATAACACAGTGCCCCATTCCACAGTTCACAACATTCAGGTACGCTACGGGAATGTTAGACACATTAAAATGTAATGTTGATAGCAGTTTGTCGTCAGATCTTTTTAAGAAGCATAATATATTTATATTCTTTACGTTATTTTTTAATTACAATCTATTGCAACAGTAAGTTAAACAGCCGTAATGAATTAACCATGCCGTTTAGGACTAAGGTATGTAGGGCTCTCTGAAATGTCTTGTAGCAAGAATGAATTCCTGCTTGCATTTACACAATTGTTTGTTACGTCTGCTGTGATATAATTTGCAAGCACTTGCGCAAGTGAGCAATTTTATGTTTTAGTTTGTCACACGCCTGTGTTTACACTGTCAAAGCGAATATTTGCGGGGTTATCTAACAGGTCGTCATGAAATTCAGTATGTTACCATTGATAATAGTGAAAGCATGCTTTTAAACTTAAGACGGCTATGTCAAATAAAGTTTCATATTTTTTGCAAATTATTTGTGGTCCCTGCATATGCTTTTTCAATCTTTTTACAAGTATTAATATATTAAACATGACATATTTAAGGCATGGGATTGCTGATGAATTTCAGAAAGCTACATATATATATATATATATTGCTACAATAAGTATACACCCTATGTCCTCATTTGATAAAAATGACGGCAAACTTTTTTTCATTATCTTTTTGCTAATTCATTTTTTCTTGGGGGGGGGGGGGGG